AAAGTTTTACTCAGTGCTATTCTGCTTATATCATCCACTAAAATTTCCCAGTGGCATATAAATTCATGGAAGCTTGGCTATGCATGACACAAGTCACTGTCAAAGAGCAGTGTCTGCATTTCCACGATAATATAAAAGTCATCCTACAGGTTCAGGCTGTAGTCCCTAGTTCTGCCAGTTCCACTTACATCTACTATCTAACCCAACAGACCTGGCCTTATCATAAATTAGGCATATTGACACAGCTCTACTCACAACACAAAGACCCTGAGAACTTCAGTTTCATTCGACTATTTGCTTATGCAATGGATTTCAAATCCATATATCTCATTTATATCAGATGGGTTTTTATTTTTTCTTTTAACAAGACACGTAAAGCCTGAACACTTCTATCGCTGGTGAAATCTGTAAATGCACAATGTAACAGCCAATGCTGAAATGAAAGGTATTGGACTAGGACTAACATTGCTCCTTGGCACACAGAGGTAAATAAAAGGACCTTCCTCCATCCCATTTATTTCTTTTTTTTTTTTTAATATATTTTATTGATTTTTTACAGAGAGGAAGGGAGAGGGATAGAGAGTTAGAAACATCGATGAGAGAGAAACATCGATCAGCTGCCTCCTGCACATCCCCCACTGGGGATGTGCCCGCAACCCAGGTACATGCCCTTGACCGGAATCGAACCTGGGACCTTTCAGTCCGCAGGCCGACGCTCTATCCACTGAGCCAAACCGGTTTCGGCGATCCCATTTATTTCTTAACAAAAAAGAATTATCTTTTGTATGATACTAGGAGGAACAACTGTGCAGTGTTTCTACTAGCAAATATCTAGTCAGAAGTTGATTTGCAGCATTTTTTTTGCAGGCCTGACAATTCAGTCAGAACCCGCAGCTTGGAAAACAAACGCCACACACCCCGAGCCCTTGGTGCCACCCCAGGGACAGAGCATCCCCGGGAAATAAACAGGAAAGAGGCAGAGCCCCAGTGCTTGGTTTCGCTGGGCACATTCTCAGATTCTTCTGTGTCCCTGTCACCAGATGTTTTGTTGTTGTTTTTACTATATTTTCCCAACCAGACTAACTGCTCCTCCAGGCAGCACAAATCTTCTCGAAAATGTCACTACGACCCAAATTTACTTGAGTCCCTCGTCTGTGACACGTGGTGGCTCCCTGGCTCATCCAGAGTGAGCCCAGCGGCAGAGAGGTGCACAGAGGAGTCGCGCCAGGACGAGAAGGTCTGGGCTGGAGATACGTGGCCACTTGTCCTCAGTCCTGGCTGCTCAGCCTGCACAGCATCACGGGGAGCCTGTCAGAAGTGGCGACCCTCTGACCACCCAGACCCACTGCATCTCGGGCTGCCCATGGGTCTAGCCCAGTGGTCGGCAAACTCATTAGTCAACAGAGCCAAATATCAACGGTACAACGATTGAAATTTCTTTTGAGAGTCAAATTTTTTAAACTGAAACTATATAGGTAGGTACATTGTTATTAACGTAATTAGGGTACTCCTAAGCTGGCCTTTGCTAAAAACGTCCTCAATCTGATTGAGGTACGTTCGCTGAGGTCGACCCCTTCCAACTCTCCCATTCACACTCGTCTTGTATACTTGTTTTGTCTATCTCCTTTCGTTCATCCTCTCTATATGTCCAAACCATCTCAACATACCTTTCTCAATCCTTGACACTACATCTTCTTTCACTCCACAACATTCCCTAAAATTAACTTAATAAATTTTACTTAAAGTTTTAAGTCAACTTTGTACTGTACGTGCGCGCCCGCACATGGTATTTTGTGGAAGACCCACACTCAAGGGGCCAAAGAGCCGCATGTGGCTCGCGAGCCGCTGTTTGCCGACCACTGGTCTAGCCGCTAAGGCAACATGCCCGGTGTGGGTCCATGCCTGTCCCGACCACAGTGGAAGTTCCTGTGCCTTAAACATGGGGAGCAGACAGTGACAGAGGGCAAAGGTGCCTGATTTGGGAGAAGAAAACTCACAGATAGATATTAGGAACTCATCCTCCAATCCCAATGCTAACATGACTGAAGCCAAGTCCACACATTGAAATGCTCAGAAATGTATGGGTGCCGGGCCAACGGGAGACGGTGGGTAGACTGAGCATACATGCCCGACACAGACGCCCGCAGGGGACCTCCGGTGGGAAGGAGGCCACCGCAGGACACACACGCAGGGCCACCCCCGGGGGTGACTCCGTCATCTCTGGCCGCAGTCCCGGCCTGAGTGCGGTTCAGAGCATGAGCTCTGGGATGCGGACCCACGAGCTCCAGTCCTGCCTCTGTCACCCGCTCGTCCTGTGGTTTGGGGACAGTGATGGAGGCCACTCCACCACTCAGGTCCTTCATCTGCAAATGGTGTAATAAAAATGCCAACCGCCATAAAGCTGACTGGGAATTAAAGGAAATAATTCATATAAAGCACTTCCACAAATGAGGTCATAATAAGTGATTATTATAATCATGCCCACTTAGCCTTAAATGCGTTTATTCTCTCTCCTCTCTCTCCCTCTCATACACAGAGTACCTACAATATAATAAAAACATTCAGACAGCATATTTTAATTTCAATAAGAGAGCAGAAGGGACAAGTGCCTAGAGCAGTGGTCGGCAAACTCATTAGTCAACAGAGCCAAATATCGACAGTACAATGATTGAAATTTCTTTTGAGAGCCAAATTTTTTAAACTTAAACTATATAGGTAGTTACGTTGTTATTAACTTAATTACGGTACTCCTAAGGCTTAGGAAGAGCCACACTCAAGGGGCCAAAGAGCCGCATGTGGCTCGTGAGCCGCAGTTTGCCGACCACTGGCCTAGAGAGAAACAGGAGAATGAGGAGGGAGTTAGGAAATCACCATGAACAATATTAAGTGTGTAAGAATCTGAGCAATTTACTCGCCTCCTTGAAAAGTCATAAAACCTGTGCTGACAGGAGGAGTCTGATGGCGAAGATAATGAGTAACTGCTGGAGTCTGTTACAAGGGGGTCAATGCTGGGAGAAAACTCAGGATAAGGAGAAGGGAATGTCTGGTGGGAGGGGGGAAACCAGGCAGGTTTCTGAAAGGTGATTTTAAGCAATGATCTGAAGCGAGTGAGGCAGTTAGTCACGGGCACACGGGGAGAAGCTGCAGTAGCAGCTCGTGTGGCGAGAGTGCGGGGCCCAGCAGGAGACCTGGTCGAGGAGAGGTGGGCGATGTATCAGGACTGGCCTCACGCACCCGGGCCGGCTCAGGACCCCTTCCTGGCAGTCGCTGAGGAGGCTGGGCATGAAGCATCGGTGATGATTACGGACTAGGAACGGCGGCAGCGGTGCCTGCACGTGGCCCTGTCGTGTTCGGCCCTTCCGTCAATCACCGAAGGACACAGAAGGCACGGCTCGTCAAGGTTACCCAGCTTTGACACACACCGGTGACCAGAATCACGCTTCAAAACCATCCCAACCGAACTGGCCGAACCAACGCTGCAACACTTCACCGGGACCAACTGTTTGGGGAAAAGCTTTTTACAAACCCTTTCTCAAGTGCAGCTAGACATCAGTCCACTTTATCAAGGAGTTCATGGCCAAAGGGACAACATACTGTAGGAGTCAAGAATGGGAGACAGGCCTGGCCGGTGCAGACCAGTGATTAGAGTGTCAGATTGGGCACTGAAGGGCCTCAGGTTCGATTCCCGGTCAAGGGCATGAACCTGGGTTGCGGGTTCACTCCCCACCCCTTGTCAGGGCACATGTGAGAGGCCACCAATCGATGTCTCTCTCACATGGATGTTTCTCTCTCTCACCCCCTACCTCCCTTCCACTCTCTCTGAAAAGCAATGGAAAAAACACCCTCAGCTGAGGAAAAGAAATAAATACATAAATAAAAATATATAATTTTAAAAAGAATGGGGGATAATTTCTTAGAGCCGAGAGAGGTTATGGAGGGCCCTGCCTGAGAGAACAGTGGCCATCGGTGTAGGGGAGAGGCTCCCTGTGAGGCTGGAGACTGCAGAGTGGGCTGGGGCAGGTCCCACGGGGACAGCGGGGATGGTGTGCCCAGCGGACAGGCCTTTGACAAGAGGAGTCCCTAGAGCAGCTCTAAAGGGAGCAGCTACTCCAGGACCCTCGCCATCTGAAGTCCGGGGAGTAGAAGGCAGCATTTGCACTCCGTGTGGCTGCAGAGACCAGGGCAGGAGGGCGGGGGACCTGGGGCAGGACCTGGCTGGGTCTGGGAAAGTGCGTTTGAAAACTCAGGTCTGTTCCAGAATGGGGCCGCTGCCTCGCACAGCCGTCCTGGCGCTGGTACATTCCCGGCCGCCGAGCCAAGCATCGTCAGCGCACTGCCATGACAGGTACACATCCAGATGCAGATGAAGGACCTGAGTGGTGGAGTGGCCTACACCGGGGCAGCGGCCATATCCATCACACCTCAATCCCCAGCGATGCTGTGCTGGGCGCCACTTTCAAACATCGAAACTCCAGGTGCTACTGCTGTTCTGCTGTTTCAGCCACAAATCACAGTTCAGTTCCCCCTCCAGGGCTTCCCTCGGTCCCTCCCCACACACTCCCAACTCTGTCCACACCCCTCCACATCCAGGACGCGGGGGGCTGCAGAGGGGGGCTCCACAGCGCCCCCCGTGTGGGGGCTGAGGTAAGAGCTGAAAACATTCGCTTCGCTGACCCCCTCCAGCAACAACCCCCCTCGCAGTACCTCCGAGGTACTGCCCTTGACGGAATCGAACCTCAAGCCTTTAGTCCAGGGGCCCACGCTCTACCCACTGAGCCACACCGGCCAGGGCAGAGGTGCCACCGAGGTGTTGGCAGCTGCTGCGAGGATCTCTGAACATAGCGACAAGCATTGTATTTGAGCTTCTTACTCGGGGAGCTTTAGAACCAGGGGAGATTCTGCCTGGAAACCCCGTGTCAGCTCTTCTCCCACCGGCGCACTTGTGCTACAGGCAGAACCCGCGCCAGAATCTAGCAGCTTCGTTTCGGGGCGGGCCTCACCTTCGTATCTGCTGGGCGAGTCGCTCGCTTTCTGCGGGGTCGCCACGCGGAGGAATATCTGCTGCCTCCACGAGTGTCTCCGCGTCTTCACAGGCGTCCCGCTGGGGTCGCCGAGAGGGTGGGCTTTGGCGTCCAAGTCCCTAAAATTACAAGAGAATTGATTTATGACTGGTGAGGAGCTAGAAACAGGTATTTTAGCTTTCGTTTTTGTCTTTTAAACAACGCATTATAATATCAACTCTCTTTGCATAAGGAAATATAATTAGATCCTTGCAGAAGTTAGTCCAGCGCAGAGTGGGCCATCACTCCTGCGCGCTGCTTTCTTACAGGAGGCTCTGCATGAAGCGTGAGAGGACATGCCCCTCATTCATTTCCATGGTAACGAGATTTAGAAATACCCTCCAGGAATCCTTAGCTTCCAGCTGGGCCTCTCTGGGCGCCACTTCATTATGCAGAGGAACTGCCTACAGGGGGCGCTGTCACCAGGGCCACACTCCTCCCTGGTCTGCCTGTGGGAGTATTTTCACAGCACAGGCCTGCGTCTCCACAGGTCATCACACAAAATACAAAAGTTAAATTACATAGAACCGCCAAGGCAGTAATTATTTGGTCACTTGCTGATGACTACTGACTTAACTTTTATATTTTTAAAACTATAAAACACAGTACATTTATCAATATACATAACTAACATCGAGTCATTAACGTGCTTCCTATTTGCAGGACAACTTGGGGAAGGAAGCCCTTATAATCTCCACCTGCGTGTGTGTACATATACAGAGGTGGGCAAAAGTAGGCTTACATTTGCTCGTATGGAAAATAATACAATCATTAATAATCATACCAAATAAACTGTTTCGTGCACCCTCAACTGTAAACCTACTTTTGCCACCCCGTGTACATACCCACAACTGGGCAATCACGGGCCCCTACAGATCGGACACCCAGCCGCACGCTCACTACCCACAGCTCCAATGTCACTTAGAGAACCGGGTAAGACCTTCTTTAATCTTCTGAAAACAGCAGCACATTAATAAACGAATCCTCGTCAAAATTAGAAGAGGCTGACAGTACATTTTTTAAAATGACATTCAGTAAGAAAAAAAAGTATAAGAAAGAAGATACAATAAGATTTAGCTAAAATGACTTTTCAAATGGCAAAAGAACAGCTGAAAATCCCTGTATGTCTAACAGTTCAACACTCCACCCAGGCTTGAAACAGCTAAAGGAAGCCCTACCTTTTTGTGCTCATAAAGTCAGAGGTGTTATTTTCATCTACAGGAGCCAGAAATTTTAGGAAATTTGGCACAGAGGAGGAAGAGTGGAGTTTTCTCCGCAGGGCATTGCGGTAGGAGATGCTGAGAGTTCGGTTGGAAAAAGAGTTCAGGATAAAGAAATAAAAACATACAAAGTATAAAACACCAGCTTCAAAATTAAAGCAACATTTTAGTTCTAATGCTAAGAGAAAGTAAACCAGGTGGGAAATTAAAAATAGTTTACAAGTGAGATTTAACTTGAATTTTTTGGTTAATAAAATTCCATTTTAAATGAATGGAACCAATGAGTTAATTTAAAAGCATCAGTCCATTTAGTTATGCGAGATGAATGAATTCCGAGAGCTGCCATGCAACACGGTGCCTGGGGTTAACAATACGGTGTGCGACCCTTTAAATACTTGTGAAGAGTGCAGATCTCCTGATAAGCACTCTTACCAGAATAACGGAAAATCAAAACAACCAAAAAAATCAGTCCATCTTCCAAAATGACTCTTTCAAACTGGAAAAATTAATGAGGGTGTTTCTGATGTGGCACAAACTGCATTGTCTAAGGTCAAACACGTGTTTTAACGTGTGTGTGTGTGTGTGTGTGTGTGTGTGTGTGTATTGGGGCAGGGGAATGTGACAGTAAGTATATACAAATGGCTTGCCATTAAGACCTTTTGAGGAAATTAAAATTTAGGAAAAAATTTAATTTTGAGAAAATTAATCAATAGTAAAATTAAGCCGAAACTGGTTTGGCTCAGTGGATAGAGCGTCGGCCTGCGGACTGAAGGGTCCCGGGTTCGATTCCGGTCAGGGGCATGTACCTGGGTTGCGGGCACATCCCCAGTAGGAGATGTGCAGGAGGCAGCTGATCGATGTTTCTCTCTCATCAATGTTTCTAACTCTCTATCTCTCTCCCTTCCTCTCTGTAAAAAATCAATAAAATATGTTTAAAAAAATAGTAAAATTAAGTCAGTTCGAATGATAGACTGAAAATAATGAAAATAAAGACACACACACACACACACTCGTGGCCCGGATCCCCTCCATGCAGCACATCCTCTCGGTGCGAACCTCCCAGGAAGACAAACGACACTGAACTTGCCATGCGAGTGCGCTCACCTCTTAGGCACGGCATTCCCACTTTGTTCTCCACTCGTGTTATGTTTTAAGGACTTAAAAAAATTTGGTGAGGAGTCGGAGGGGTTAAGACGAGGTGGAGGAGCAGGAACTGAAGGACCTGAGCAACTTTTAGATTCGCCAACAGGTGGATGATTCCCACTAAATAGCAAGTAGAGAGAAAGCACTGGGGTTTAGAGGCAGAGGGGGACCAGGAGGGCACGACAGAGGGGCCAGAGGCCGGTGTCTCACTTCGCTTCTGCATCCCGACTCTCATTGGCAAAGGTAGTTTTTAGTAAAACAAAGAGTATTGTGAAAGGTCATTCTTGATCATTTCCCACCTATCTCCACAACCAATGGTACTGTTTCCTCTATCCCCTTTTTAGGAACTGACAGGAAAAAAATTTCAATTGAAACAAAGGCGAAGAAAAGCAAACCGAATTCCAGAGTTTTAAAAATACATCTCTCTTGAAAATGAACAATAACCTGCCTTGAATGTCAATGTCTCATTTCCTGGACACAAATAAGAAGGGTTCGTACAGGGTGCGGAACATGCAATAGGTAGGGGAGAGAGGGGAGGGAGGAGGAGGTGGCGGGGGGACATTTCCCCCTCCCCCCATGCCTCTCAGCCACTATGTCCGGCATGACCCATTAGGAAGCTGCATTCTCAGGGGAGAAGGGGAATGCGCTGTCAGGGACACTGATCCCCCACCTCTGCCTTGTGTGAAACACCAGGCTTATTAGCCAGAGAACGAGGCCTCTCTAGACAGGAAAGTTTGCATTCGCACTGAAAATGCCAGGACTGAGTGTGGCAACCCAGTGGAGAGGTAGAAGAAAAGGCCCCAGTGTGAGTGCAGAGCTTTAAGACACATGACAAGAACCTCATAAGGCCTCCAACCGTGTTGTCTCTAAAATGTCGTATTATCAAATATTAGCTTCTGCAGTGTGTCCTGCTTGGGGATCCTGGTCATCCAGCCAATTCCAAAGAATTGCCCGAACTGCTTTCAGCGGCTGCCTGAAGACAAAGCCGAGAGGCCCCGCTACATTGTTTCAGGACTGTCAATGCCGTCACTTCTTCACTGGGAACATTTCACCCCCCTGCCCCCCGCCCCCCGCCCCCGGGGTGGACTGTGCACGATCCAAGCATGACCTGCACTGACACACGTCCTGTGGCTTCTGTTGTAGGCAGGTGTGGCCCTACTTCACGTTTATGAGGCCAAGGGTTGGAAGAGGTGTTTTACAGTTAATTTTAAAGATAACTGTCCACTTCTGGTCTCTGACACTTAGGGTCAAATGCATGGCCAAGGGACCCCAGGTGGAACAGGAGGACTTCTGTTACTCTAGTTACTTACCCATGTCTGTGACAAGGAAACTCCCATTAGAGCCCAGTTATTAGAATTAGCAAATCTTGTTACAAGACTCTAGGATTCTCCCACCCACGGAGATTTTAGAAAACATCTGTTCCAATTTTGTCACGGAGAGATTTAGGCAGGTCACAGCCAGTTCAGGACAGAGCTGGGGCCGGGGCCCACGCCTCTGCAGCCAGCACAAGCGGCCACATGGCCCCTCAGGCTCCACCCATCTTGGTCCCACCGAGGACATGCTCCCGGTGTTCAGGTGAGTACCCCGCCCTGCTGGCCCGCTCCCCACTTCTCCGCAAAGCCACGAGCTAAGTGCCAAGGTCAAACCACCTGGCTCTCCTGGAGGAGTGACCCTTATACACCATAAGGGTCGTTTCTGCTCGGTTTCTCCTGCTTCTCACCAACACTTGTAACAAGTATCACTTCATCTATGTTTCCCACGGTGGGCGGGGGGGGGGGGGGGGGGGCGGCAGGAGAGGGGGCCGGAGGAGCGTGCCACTACTTCAAGTTTATCTCTTTAAGCCAAGAGTAAACCTGACTCGGGGTTCTCTCTGACCCAATAAACATACTAGGTGCCAGAGTCCATTCATTGTCTTCACTAGCTGAGTTTAGACAGAGACCCCCAAAAGCTAGTAACCTTTGAAGTCCTAGCAAAGGTCAGAACTGCACCACCCAGTTAATCTAGGAACCACCCAGTTAATTTAGGTAATAATAGCTGAAGCATCCCCACCTTAGTTCCCTTAATTCCTTAGATACTTGTGTAGATCCTTGTTGATTATTGTTGATCAGATATTCTGCCTATTTCTGGAAATTGTCTACCAATGAGCTAATCCATGTGTCATTCAAACCTCCTTACCCTAAGGCTACCCCAGACAAACCTCCTTACCCTAGGGCTACCCCAGACAAACCTCCTTACCCTAGGGCTACCCCAGACAAACCTCCTTACCCCAGGGCTACCCCAGACAAACCTCCTTACCCTAGGGCTACCCAAGATCAAATAAAAGCTTGGAGCGGCCTGAGCATCAGTGGAAGTCCTTCGGGACTTGCCCGCCTGGTCCCCCAATATTGCAAAATTATCTCGTGTCTTTTTCTTTCATTTTCTTTCACTCCTCTTTCAGATACCGAACCCTACTCCACGCAGAACGTGGAGGGAGTGTTACTCGACACTAGGGATGCACATACCTGCTTAGGAACAGGTATGGCCCAGCTATGCTACACAACAGATTCACATTTTAAACAAATCTTACTTTCGTTCATGAGGCGTCTCTGTGCTCACTGAGTGGTACCTCATAAGTTTCCTCTGCGAGCCCCCCGGGGAGCCCTGGGCGGGTTCCGGAGGCTCCTGGCACTCCACAGGGAAGTGACTCAGGGTGTTCGCCCGCCGTCGGTAGCCCTGCTGGGGGGAGAGCAGGGCAGGCTCTTCCGTGGGAGGGCTCTCCGTGTCACCGGACAGCAGGTCGTCTGAGGAGCCCAGGAGCCTGGTTCTGCTCTCAGACGCGGGCGAGGCCTCCTTGTCACACACACAGGGCTCCTGGAGGCAGACAGACAGCAGATCAGACGGATCCCAGGAAACCTGTGGGATTTACAAAGCTCTAAACCCCAGCAGCAGGAAAACAGTTCAATATGTAAGCACATCTGATGATAATGCCATGTGCAAGCCACCACAACCCATAAGGAAATAAAAGCCCTTTACATGCCTGCTTGTCAGAGACAAAATGCTAACTTGTGGGACAAATGGGAAACTGCCCAAATGCAAGCGTGAAGGACGCAAACCATGACACAGAACGGTTCCAGGCCAAACGCAGTTTCCTCCCTCTGGAAAACACAACTGAACTATTGCTCGTAAGATGCGTGATGAGGGTTGGGAAACTTGTCTGCACTGCTTAAACAAATCGAGTTCTTTATCTCTGCCAAGTGTGTCCATACATGTTGCACCCACACTTTAAGGCTCTCTCTCTGGATTTGATCTAATGCTAAGATTTAACTTGGTAATCTTGAGGGTTAAAAATTATATCCTCAATTATTCTTGGTATATGGAAAATCTCTCCCTGGGCACTTATTGCCACGATTCAGGGCCAATCACTTATCTTCTTTCTGCACCTCAATTTCCTCGTCTCTAGAGTGAAAATTTATCTCACTGGCTTCCAGAATGAAGCAGGACAATATAACCGGAAGTACTCTGCTCACTGTAAAATGTGACACAAATGTAAGGTGTTGTTTTGTTAGGTACTCCATGAACTTACTGAGTAGGACCTCAAACATTTGTTGAGAATCATGACAAGAGTTTAATACTGTAGATTTTCAAAACACATACTTTTTCAAAGGCATGAACTACTACCCCTCAAACTGATGCTTAGCACTGCACTCCCAGAAGTTGGTATGTGGCCAACATATTTTTCTCAAATCAAAAAATATAAAATAAGAGGAAGTGTACCAACTTGTCCCTACTGAAATTGCTAGAAGGGTTAAATTAATCAACATGAAAAGAGTAAAAAGGAATGAATGCATCTAACAGTGGACTACATTCTCTCTGTTCATTTGCTATATAGTTGAGTGCCTTTTATTTACTTATTTTTAATATTTATCTTTATTGTTGAAAGTATTACAGAGGTCCCCTTTGTTTGTTTGTTTTTTTTCCCCATTGACCCCTTCCATTCTGCACCCATCCCTCCCTACTTGAGTGCCTTTTAGATGATAGGTACTAAGGATTTTAATTTATGTGGATTGAGAGGAGAGATGATAACACTTAATTTTGTAGGAATTAGATGGGAAAGGTTTAATTCCCAGCATACTATGAAATGATATTTTAAACATAACTAAAATATGTTATTCTTCTATAGTTCCAAGGATCCTTTTCAGGCAAGGATTTAAAAATTTGTCTAAGACACTACATCACAGCAAACAATCTCCACCCTGCAGACCTGTTCACCTCAATTCTCATTAACATCCTCCACAGTCTATGAAAGCTAACTAACCCTTAGCTTAAACTTACACCTGAAAGGGCCACTTGGATGTCCAGTTCCTTTGCAACTCCTAGGTGATCAATTTATTGGGAGAGATCCAATTGCATTAAATGTGCACCTTTACAACAGTTTCTCTACCTCAGGATGAAAAAAAGGTCTACAGGAGTGCACATAAAGATACACACACAATACACACAGGCGGCTTCTGAAAAGCTGCACTTCTCCTAGAACTACCCTAGAAACTCAAGCTATGTGTATATTCCCAGATGTGTGTTTTGGAGAAGAATAAAAAACAAGCAAGACTTATTGGAAAAGTCCCTTGAGTGGCATGCGTGTCTTCACAGTTATCTTTACGTGCAGTGGTCTATCTGAAACACCTTCTTCCCCGTCCACTTCCACAGGGATACTTCCTACCCTTTCTTCAAGATTCCATTCAAAAGCCTCCCTGTTCTCCTCTCCAAACTTCCCCTGGTTCCACTGACCAAAAATAACTCCCTCTCCCCTCACTGTGACCACTAGGCCACCACCGTCTCTTATCCAAACTCCCAGGGCTCCTACCAGATGCTGGTGTTACTTGTGGGCCTGTCACCTCTCCTACCAGAGAAGTTCCTACAGGGTCTCACTCCCCAAAGTGGGTTCCCAGACCACAGCATGGACATCGCCTTGGCACTTGTCAGAGTTCAGAGTCTCTGGCCTCCTGCCAGGCCTGTGGCATCAGAGTCTGCATTTTAACCAGAACCCATTCAAGACGCCCCTCAGGATCTGAGAAGTACTCATGGAAGGTAGAGTTCCTCACTCTGCAGGTGGGAGCACGTCCGCAGGCAGTGATGCCAACTGAGAGCTGTGCCCTGAACACTTTTCAAACAGAAGAGAGAACACCAGCATGTGCCACACACCGTTTACAGTAAACACTGTTTTGTGACATTTTAATTTTGTGAAACTTTTGTGTGAGTGTGTATGTATGTGCTTGTGAACCATTTCGCAGTGTTGCATGTGTTTCTTACTGTTCGTTATGATCTAAAAAGTTTAAAAGCCACGAGCCCAGTAGGGATCTCAAAAGAACTTGGAGTTGCTGTGCAAAGGCGCTGGCTTCCACAAAAGTTCCCTCTTTCTTAAATCTGAAGCCCTTGTGTAGCAGAAGGAATGCTGACTTCCTTAGCACAAAACCCAAAACCCATGTGTTGGTGGTTAACAAGTTGAACTAAACAAGTTTAAATGGCTTAAATGTCTAGAAAGCAAGAAACTAAAACAAGGACACGGGTTTGTCACCCAAGAGAACCACTGCTGGGTCACTGTCACCAAGCCGTGCTTGTGGCAGAGGCGCGGGCTGGAGCGTGGCGGCTTATTTAAATGGAACAGAAATGTCTAATCACAATCTCAGAGCCAGCTGGAGGGTAAAGTGAGGTCCAGGAATTTGAGCTGCATACTTCTCAGAATTCACGAACCCACTTCTGCGGTTTGCCCAATTTCAGTTATTTTTAATATTGGAAAAGCTGCTTGGGAATGAAATCCACTGTGGCTTGCAGTAAATCCGATCTCAGTGGTCTGAATGTGTGATCTCGTTTCTCTGTTTAGGGAATGGCATCTGCTGAGCCACATGAGAAGTCTGTATCATGGTCTAACTGCGTGGCCAGCCTCCGTGGCACCACGAAGACTGAAACCACCAAACTTTCCTTGAGTGGAGATAGGAGGCCTCTTTGTCCCTTTAGATAGGCCCTGTAGAGACAAGATGAACAAGGCCTATTTGCTGGCTTCTTAAAGGCATCATATAAAGAAAAATGTGCTTACTTTGTTGGTGTTATTTAATGTGCTAGACACGGAGCCATCCAGATCCAGGCTGGCAGAATGTTCCGGAAGGCCTCTGGCTTTATTGCCCTATGTAAAGAAAAGGCAGTTGAGTTATGACCCCTGAGGCTTCTGCAAAAGCATCACCTAGCTGCATCGTGGTTTCTGTAAGTAAAGTCAGGAAGAATGCATCTCCTGAGAAATGCTGCTAAGCACACGTATACATTAAGACAGCCAACGTTTCTGTCTTTTGGTTTTTTTTCATAGCACACCAACCTAAATGCTCCAGAACACCTTGTGGATTCGTCAATTGGCAGTTTTAATAGGAAGGAAGAAGAGACTATTCATTAATAAATTGTCATGGTAGTCTGCCGGCTGTATGACACTCACAACATTCCGTGCATGTGGGAGTCTCAAAGACAGCCACCCACCCCCGGCTTTGTAAATGGACTGTTTTTAATTATGTCTAAGGATGCTGCAAAGTTCTCAGAAGCATCTTCAAACAAAATAAAAATTAACTTTAAAAAAATACAGCATTTTTTTAAAAAAATTGGGTCAGGAAATAAATAAAGAACTGTAAGATGATGTTGCAAGCTCCAGAAAGGTTATCACACTTTGATTTCTGAGAAATGCCATTTATAATCACTGGGGGTGGGGGAGTGGGATTTTAAAGAACTCCCATATCAGTGCCTGCGTATACTTCCTATTTCTATTCCTGTAGAGCTGCAGTCCACACACCTTTCTGTAAAGGCCCAGAAAACAAGTCTCTTACACTTTATGGGCCATGGGGTGTCCATGGCAACTACTCCACTCTGCACAAAAGCAGCCTCAGACAACTGGTGAGTGAACGGACGTGGCTGTGCCTCAATAACCCTCCACGTACAGAAATGGGAGGTGGGTGGCATTTGCTCTGATGGCTGTAGTTTGAGGACCCTGCCACAGAGTTCCAGGTACAAAACAAGAGCTGCGGACAGAAGCTGGATTCTTACGTTGTACCAAGTGACACCAGGGAGAACAGAACCCACACTGGGTGCATCTAACCTGTGCCCTTTACAGGAACTAGCCAATGAACAGCATTTTGGGGAGAGACAAAAAATTCCATGGGATTATATATAACATAATACAAAAAATTGGTTTCACCCATGCCAGGTTAAAAACTGAAATTAAAGTGTAGATAACAATATTGTAAGATTGAGAAGACATTAAAAAAAGATTTCACCTTCTATACTTTACGATGAGCACAAAGTGAATAAAAGTAACAAATCGAATCAGACACTCTTTTAAAAAGTGACTTAAATCAGGAGAAATTATGCTACTTACCCGGGACAAAATACTTTCCAAAGACTCCGCTAAAGATCTCTTCGCTTTGTTTTTCAGCATGTCGAGCTTAAATCGAGTGGCACTGGATGGTAATTCACTTCCAATATTCTCTGCTGCAATCTGTGTTGTCTAAAAAATGAAACAATGGAAAGTTGAGTCACAACTTCCTTTCTTTTTTCCTTTTTAAAGGACTAAAAAAATCTCTTGGGTGCATCTTTTTGACCCCAGGCCATTAGCCTACCCTCATCTCACCTGCTCCTCAGTGACAGGGCTACAAGTCCAGGAAATAGTTTTGCCTCAAAGAGTTGCTTTACCTGCTCCAAACGAAACACAGAACTGTGCTTGGAAGCCTCGCAGCAAAGCCGTGTAGAGCTTGTGCTCTGTAGTCGGAGCAGAGATCCGTCATTCACTACCCGGCCTTGTGCAAGTTACTTACTTTCTCTGGGCTGCAATTTCCTCCTCTGTAAATTGAGCCCAACCTCCAGATCTAATCGTAAGGCTCTGTTGTGAGACTAAAACAGGTAGAGCCAGTAAAGCATGGGGCACAGCTTCTGGTACAAAGGTAGCCATGGTTAGCTTTTCAAAGTGAAGTAACAATTTACCTTTTGGGGCATTTCGAGGGTAGGATAAAATAAGCTTACCAACTGAAGAATCCCTTCTGTCTGCCGATGCCAATCGTTCATTGCTTTCTTGAGAGCTGTCTTCCCTCCCACCTATTGTTTCCATCACCCCTTTCATTCTCCTCTGCCACCAGGCTTCTCTCCCTTAACTGACCATAGTAGGAAACTGACAACATAATGGAGTTTGTTTGCCAACCACTAAGTGAAGTTTAATGTCATTTATGAAGAGAGTGGCATATTTTTTTAAAACCTACAAAATCCATAGATACATTGCTTCCTACTTCTCTGAAGTGTTACCTGATGGTTTTACATAACCCTGGTGCCCCTTTGGCCAAGAACAGTGAGGGTTTGGGGCTCTGCACTCAATGCCCAGGGAGATGCCTCCTTGCTCTCTGTCGCTATGTGGCCTCGGGAAGGTTACTATTACCTACTGCCTCTCTCGGTTCCTCTACCTGCGGACTGAAGATGTCCAATGGACTTTCCTCACGGAGCCATTACAAGATTTAAATACATTAATACACATTAAAGCACTTTAAACACACCTGAATCTCAGTAAGTGTCATTACTAGCTAGTCTCTCCATTTACTTTTCACTTTTAATAGAAGAAAATGACAGACATATTTGAATCACTCTCCTTTCTCTATCTGCAGAAATAACCCCTCTTCTGAATTGGGTGTTTATCATATCAACTCACATTTTTGTACTTTCATACATGTATGTAGCCATAAAACATGTATGTTGGTTTACATGTAGTTGAAGCTTAAATGAATAAATCATCCTGTGCATACCCTTCTATAATTACCATTTTTCTTTCAATGTTGTTTTTTAGATTTCCATATCAACAAAGGTTCTTTGATTTATTCACTTCAATCAAAATGTATAATCATAGAAGTTTATTCATATTCCTGTTGTTAAACATTGACTCCCTTTTTTGCTCTTACAAAAGAGACTGCAGTAACCTGTCTTGTACATAGCTCCTTATCACACATGTGAAGTTTTTACAAGGAACTAGGGATGTCCTTGCTGGGTCACTGGGTCTATGCATCTTCCGCTACACTAGATACTGTCAAATTTCTCTCCCTTAAAATGGTACCAATTCATATTCCAAGCATCAGCAAATGAGAGTTCACCTTTACATGATAGTGTCAGATTTTTAAATTTCTGCCAGTGGCCTGGGTATAAATACCTCAATTTGTCTTCCTCCGATTCCTATTGTGATTAAGTATTTTTTATTTTATTCAGTTATTTGCTGGTCAAAGACCTTACATCTTCTTTGACATAATGAAATCCTAATTCGCCAATGAATGTTATACATTTTTCAAAGCATAAAAGAGAAACGATTCTGATCAGAGCTCCATTCGGCTTTGTCCGGTCATCAGAGTTTTACTTCTGTGAGAATTAGCACATGCGTTCAAAGAATGGCTTAGCTCAGAACTTCAAGAAGGGCGACTACCACTTATCTTTGTGTTTTCACTGAGCACGCTCTGCACAACCCATACCTGCTTGCTGAGGAATGAATGCGTGAGCAATGATCAGCAGGCAGGCCCATGGGAAACACACACCTGAACTTACAGGTGCACTCAACAAATTCCCAGTGCCTGCTAAGAATCACGCACCACGGGCAGGTGCCTTACTTGTTGCAACTGGTCCTGTGCAATCATTTACCAAGAACAAGCGCCTGTCCTGACTCTCGGCAGCCTCCAGAGCAAAGGGAATTATCCACAGGGCCTCCTGGGACTGCCTTTGACCGACACCTGTTCACTCACAAAGTTAAGAGACCGTGGATGTGCTTTCAAACCCGTAACACACGTTTTCATAAAATGGAAGCATTTAGAGTGGATTGTTGTTGTTTGTTTGTTTTTTTAATATATTTTATTGATTTTTTTACAGAGAGGAAGGGAGAGGAATAGAGAGTTAGAAACATCGATGAGAGAGAAACATTGATAAGCTGCCTCCTGCACACCTCCCACTGGAGATGTGCCCACAACCAAGGTACATGCCCTTGACTGGAATCGAACCTGGACCTTTCAGTCTGCAGGCCGATGCTCTATCCACTGAGCCAAACCAGTCACAGCGATTGTTGTTTTTTTTAATATTTTTTTATTGATTTCAGAGAGAAATGGAGTGAGAGAGATAGAAACATCAATGATGAGAGAGAATCATTGATCGGCTGCCTCCTATATGCCCTCCACTGGGGATCAAGCCTGCAACCCAGGCATGTGCCCTTGACCAGAATTGAACCTGGGACCCTTCAGTCTGCAGGCCGACACTCTATCCACTGAGCCAAACCAGCTAGGGCTAGAGTGTATTGTTTTGATACATGAAGAAAACATTGGCTAAAAGCCTTGCCCTAACTGATATGGCTCAGTGGATAGAGCATCAGCCTGAGGACTCAAGGGTCCCAGGTTCGATTCCAGTCAAGGGCATACACCTTGGTTGTGGACACATACCCAGTAGGGGGTGTGCAGGAGGCAACTGATCGATGTTTCTCTCTCATCAATGTTTCTAACTCTCTATCTCTCTCCCTTCCTCTCTGTAAAAAAATCAATAAAATATATATATTTTTTAAAAGCTTAGTACTACGTAGCAGATGCTACACAGACAGAAGAAAACCTACACTTGTGTTTTTCTCCTTTTAAACCGGCCGTAAGCATCTCCCTGCACTCAAAGCTTCCATTCCTCTCCCACCTAATGAGAGGTTTTGTATGTCTATCATCACAATTCAAATATAATTGGAAAATAATTCACACTTAGGAAATAATGCCTGTTTAGAAAGTAATTCACGTTCAGAAAATAACCCGTTCCTTGTTTATTTTAAAATAAGCATCTAGAAGTTTCTCCCTTGAAGATGATGCTGGGGGCACCCAAACACATCTGGGACCAGGGTGTCTTCCTTGCAGGCAGACGTGAGCCTCCTGGGTGACGGAATGTTCAGGAGCCTCCAGAGAAAGTACGGCCCAGGCGCCAGTTCCACGTGCTGAGGCTTGGTCTCTTTCACATTCAATTATCTGACGTTTTCACATTGGAAAAAACTATTAAATATATTTCTCCACTGGACTCATCTATGCCCAAATCATAAAGATACTACCTATTCCTTGAAAGTGAACTGGCACGTAGGTCAAAACTTTCTTCCACCCTAAGTGCTTTATTTCCCTGTAGCAGTTACAAATCATCTCAAAATTACCAATTTCCTGTTGGAACAAGTTGGTGGGGTTGGGGAATCAGAACAAGGAAAAACTATTAATGGTACAAAAGCAGGGGGCGGGGGAGGGAGAGGAAGCAATGGAAATAAGAACAAATAGGTTGAAAATGGAACTAGAGAATTAACTGAAAACTTAGATGGAGTGACGCATCCCAAAGTGGACAGGAGGCGCACACACCGCCTGAAGGGTGTGTGGAAGGGAGGAATGTCAACCACAAAGGTCAAAGGCCAAGGACACAGACGTGCACTGGCATTCGCACCACCGCCGAGGGAGCCGATAGCTGGCCAATGAGATTAAAAACATTGCCAGACACTGTGCGTGAGCTCTGAGAGTTCAGGAAGGTAGGAACTCAATGGGGAGAGCTGCTACGCGTGCATCCCAGTGAAACTGCGTCATGGTGAGGTTACCAGAAAAGCAGGGGCTGTTTATGGGGTAGGGCACACGACTGGACGTTAAAGCGCCTTTAGAACGAGCATTGGTGTTCTTTTTAAAAGGCTATTACGTACTTTTGGAAAATTGAGTATTTTTTAAAACGTCCTTCACTGATTTTTCTCTAGATTTACTGGCCTACACGTAAGTTAAACAAATATGAAATGCAGCTGTAACCGGTTTGGCTCAGTGGATAGAGCGTCGGCCTGCGGACTGAAGGGTCCCAGGTTCGATTCCGGTCAAGGGCATGTATCTTTGTTGCGGGCACATCTCCAGTGGGGAGTGTGCAGGAGGCAGCTGATCAATATTTCTCTCTTATTGATGTTTCTAACTCTCTATCCCTCTCCCTTCCTCTCTGTAAAAAAAATCAATAAAATATATTTTTTTAAAAATATGAAATGCATGTTTTGAAGCAATACTGGTTATTATGAACTGACTTCCACAGAATCCAAAATACACATAAAAGTGGTCCACGGCACTGTATGTACTGAACCCCAAACTGGCAGCTCCTCAAAGACAGAGACCCGCAGGCAGCGCCAGCCTGACACAGCACCCCTCAAACAGAAAAGCCAAACAAAGCTGTGGACAGGAGCAGAGGGCGGCAGACTGGGCGCCTCCATCGTGTTAAAGGGGATCAATGGACGTTTCCCATCTGAATAGCACAGGACCAGGCTCTCTAGGGTTCTGTCTGGCTTTGCAGTGGTGCCAGCTTACATGCACACAGCCTGCATGCTAAGAAGACCCACCACGCACTTTATGCAGCTCTGAAAGTGCTTTATGATGTCGCTCCCACTCTACCAGGGAGAGAGGGGAGGTGGCAGAGGCTGGCTCCCTGCGATTGGGGAGCCGGTGGCAGTAGGTTCTCTGAAACGTCACTCCACCCCCTCTACGGTGCAGAAACGCCTCACGGTCTCCAGCACAGTCTGAATATTCCCAAATCTTCCCTATGTGTATAACAAATGCAAATAAAACACAGGGGCAAAAACAGCTTCCAGAGCTTCGGCACATCCTCAGGACTCTTTTACACCATGTCCTGGTAAAATTACGAGAAGAGAAAAAATGCCATACCTGCTTTACATCCCCAATATGGGTGTGAACTTTTTGCTTCTCTTCATATAAACATCTCAGGAAAGAAATAACCAATTCATTCTCTCGCTGCTCATTTCTTGGTCTCAATTTCTTAAAAAAGAAGAAGAAGATATTACATTTATTTTTTTTATTGTCAACAAAACTACTTTGGAAATGCTAACTAACCGTGTCCTTCCATTCATTAATTAGTGTTTTACCCAATCACCTCACTAGGGGGCACCAATGATCCCAAAAAGGGAGATAATTTTTTAAAAGAAACAGTGGAACTAGCTGGTGGGCCAGATTTAGCTTCTGACCTCTGATGTCCTTATGCCTAAAATAAATATTTCACATCAGATAGAGGCATAGTCAAAATATTTAATAAACAAATAGTCTTGAAAACAGAAGAAAAGAACAAAATCTGTGTAAACACCCAGAGGTCAAGAGCCATCGTGGCTACACATTTATAAACTCTGATGGTTAGTGAAATGGAAAGAAAAAGAGCGATGGGCCCAGGGTCATGGTTCTATATGTCACATGTGTTCGTCAGCAAGCACTTTCTGCCACAAGGCATGAACTCGCACACAAAATGTCATGGCACTGACTCCATTTTTTTTTTCTATTTAAAAAATTCTCTCCACATCTTTTACTTCTCAGGCAGGGTGGTGGCAAAGCACAGGGGAGTAGGAATGAGGACCCGGAGGCCCGAGGTGCTGCCTGGAAGTGTGACCAAAGGCGTAGTTTAATCTTAGCTTTCTCGTTCGTTCAAATGAAGCTGGTGCACGAGACACACTAACGGTCTCCTCCAGCCCCCACAGTCTTTGGATTTGAAATTACCAGTCAGAGTTCATTTTTAAAAGACCATCCAACTTAATGGTTTCTTTTCACTGAATATGAAGAAAGCAAAGCTGAATTGCTCTGGAGATACACAAAACGTCTAGTCTATAAACTTCGGAAATGCATCTTTTTTAGATGGACAATTATCCATTGTTCGGCTCCTGGACCTCTCTCCCTACTCCAAACTTCTAGCCTGCCCTTTGAAGCAAAGTCGGGGTGCGATAAATGGATCCACTCTACAAGCATCTGAGTCTGGGTCGATGCTACTCTTAGCAACCTCCTCCCCCAGCTAACGAAGGAACAATGATTTCACCCTTCATGTCATGGGCTTTAGAAGGAACGACAATACTAACCTAGACCTTCTGACATTCGATCTCTTAAAGAAAAAGGTCACTTTAAAAAATAAGTTGTTCCTGTTACTCAAGGAAAATACAGTGAATAATGTGTGTTTTTTATTGAGGACCTTCTGTTCTTTCAAATTTCACATTTAAGGATTAAATATTTTAGAAGCTAGAACAGAGGCTCCTCACCTGGATTCCAAGCCAGGAACCTTGATGTTATAAAACTATACACGTTTTATTCAGCAAGTGGATTTCTCCAGGGGAAGGTCCCATCAGATCTTCAGTAAAGGAAAGTGGTGGTGAGGACCACAATCCCAACTTAGCCCTGCTGACCCAGGGAGGTAATGCGTATCTGTGAGTTTAAAAGCCCAGGAAGCTATCGCAACTCATTTGCTTTCAGTGGGAGTGGAAATGGCACACCCACTTTGGGAGACAGCTGGCAGCTTTTTACAAAACTAAACACACTCTCATCATACAACCGAGCAATTGCACTGCTTAGAATTTTCCCCAATGAGTTGAAAATTTATGTCCACACAAAAACCTGCATATAAATGTTTACAGCAGATTTATAACAGCCAGAAGTTATAAGCAACCCAGATGTCCTCCTTCAGTGGATGAATGGATAAGCTGTTCCATTCCAGACAATGGAATATTATTCGGCACTAAAAAGAAAAGAGCTATCAAGCCATGAAAAGACCTACGGGAACCTTAAATGCATATTGTTAAGTGAAAGAAGCCAATCTGAAAAGACTATATTCTGTATGATTCCAACTATATGACAATGTGGAAAAGACGAAACCAGAGACAGTAAAAAGATCAGTGGGTGCCTGGGGTTTGGAGGACTGGAGATGGGGGGAGGAGGAGGGGAGGGACAGGCAAAACGCAGAGGAATTTTAGGACAGTGAAACAGTTCTGGATGATACCATAACGGTGTACACACATCTTTATACATCTGTCAAACCTACAGGATGTACCACACCGAGAGTGAACCCCCGTAAACTGTGGATTTTAGTGAATAATAATGCATCATCAATGGTAACAAATGTACCTCACTTAGGCCACGTTATTAACAGGGAAACCGGCTGGGGTGGGAGGCACAGAGGCGGGAGCTTACATGGGAACCCTCTGTACTTTGCACCCATTTACTGAAAAACTAAAACCACTCTAAAGAATAAAGTCCATTTTATTTTGTTAAAGTTCAGAAAAGAGGAGCAGAAAGGAATTACACGAGGCCCCTCAGCAGACGCAGGCAGCGAGAGCTGACCCACTCTTTCTTCTCTTGCATCTTTTAATGCAAACTTCCGGCTACTCTCACAAGAAAATGTGTATTTTTCTTGGAGAAATTCTTCATAATCATTATTTCAAAATATAAAAAAAAAGGCTAAGAATGCAGGAATAAAGAGCATTATGGATGCATTTTCTTTTCCTCAAAGGCTACATGCAAGGAACTATTCAGAAGGCCAGAAAGGAGAGCTCAGCTGAGCACAATTGCTGCACATTAAAAACTGAAGCCGAGAACCAGAGGCCGCGTCACGGGCTCGTTAAACATCACAGAAAAGTCACCAGAGCAGGAAGCACGTTTTCATGGTGGCGTACAAGGTCAAGAATACACCCTTCCTTAAAACAACACGGGTAGGGGCTACCATTCCACTGAGTTAAATGATCAGCAAGGTGCCTTCTCCCCCTACCTCCCACATGACGTCACCATCCTCCCTCGTGGCAAATCGTTGTTTCCTAAAGGTGGTTTCATTGTATAGACATTCATGGGTCAGAGAGACAAGTCAGAGGAGAACAGTGCGAACCAAGCTGGGTCACATCACTTCTCAGTCAAAAATTAACTTGCTTGTTCAAAATTAATCTGCGGTGTCAGGAGCCGGGGCAGGGTTCTGAGGAGTTGGCAATGCTCCTGCTTTTTAAAAATCTCGGTGCCAGTGCACAGGTGGGTCAACTTGTAAGCAATCCCCTGAACTACACACCCTGACTTGTGCACTTTCCTCCAGTTATGTTATACGGCAATGTTTACAACAACAACAAGAAAACAATGAACTGCCTGTTAAGTAACAAAGTCAACTTTGTTACCTGTGTCTTCACCTTATTTCTATGAGGAGCCTACAAACTGGTGGTAAATGCAATTAAAGATAAATTCTCAGCGCTGACTGAGAACGCTGAGTGCTCCGGGCGCCTGCGGTCTTTAGAGCCAACGACTAAAAACGGCCGCGCCCACCGGGACAGGACGCTCTGACACCTTTTTTAAAAATGGCAATCAAATCCTATAAGAAATCATTTTAAGACCGTAGGAAATCCAAAGAAGGTGCTCCATTTTCTTTACAAAATGAAGCATAGCTCTTCTACCCATTGGTCTTTAACTGGTGAAAAGCCGTGTTGTTTAGCCCATCATGGACACCTACTGAATGTACATCCACTTGATTTATCTACTCAGGACGGGTGCAGTCATCCCCTGAAACACACTCACTCAGATGAAGGGAGTTGGATCTGGAGACATTTCCTTCCCTTGCCCTCCCTGGGCCTCAACGCAGTTTCTCAGACTCAGAGGGCCAGCCTGGACGCGGCACCTCCGCCAGCAAGACCCTGGGAGTCACTGTCACGCCTGCCCAGTTGGACTGTCACGCCTGCCCAGTTGGATATGTTCGATGTATTTCGTTAGTGATTACTGTGCCACTTCACTCAATACTAGACATTTCAAACAGACCACAGACAGACATGTGGCTGGCTATGCAGTGTCGTCAGTAGTCCTCCTAAGCAGTGATGGCGAACCTATGACACGCGTGTCAGAGGTGACATGCGGACTCATTTTTTTTGGTTGATTTTTCTTTGTTAAATGGCATTTAAATATATAAAATAAATATCAAAAATATAAGTCTTTGTTTTACTATGGTTGCAAATATCAAAAAATTTCTATATGTGACATGGCACCAGAGTTAAGTTAGGGTTTTTCAAAATGCTGACACGCCGAGCTCAAAAGGTTCGCCATCACTGTCCTAGAGAGAGGAAGGCTAACAGGCCCCAGCGCCCACTGGCCCAGGTCGGCGTGTCTGCAGCAGTGATCATCTCTGGCACCATCTGCACGATAATCATTCATCTCTCTTTCTTCATGGTTCTGTTTGGGATGCATTTTATTTTACATTAAGCATTTATTTACAAAGACATGATTGCGTATGCTTCAATAACTATTTAGGTGATCACGTGCCACACATTTCAATAATACCAGCAATGGCATTTGTCTTATGGAAGTGTGCCGTAAGAGAGTTCTGCAGAACCAAACCACCTCCAGGAAGGACTGTGTGGAGGAAGAGATGAGCCACTCTCCTTATAAGAGGACTCGTGACCCCACAAAGCCACCTTCTTCTTTATGAAGTTTTTGAAACGTATGATTTTTCAAACACATTAGCAGGCACTGCTGCCTAAAAAGAAACCAATGACGTGGTTTGTAAAATGTTTTACAAAAACTACAAATGGGCCTTGAGGAAATAATTCAACAAGACGATCAATAAGCCATTAGACTGAAGAAGAGATCATGTCAAATTCGTATCATTCAAGGAAGAGCCATGCATACACTGACGGAGGACAAAGTCTGAGCTGGCTTTTGTAACCCATGACTTCCCTTTGGTATTTAAACCAATAAAAAAAAACTAGTCTTCTAGGGGCCTTAGGAGATTAACTGAGTACACTATTTTTTAAATGGTTTTATTGATTTTAGAAAGAGAGGAAGGGAGAGGGAGAGACAGACAGACAGAAACATCGATGAGAGAGAAACATTGATCGGCTGCCTCCTGCACCCCCCTCCCACCCCCACCCTCCACCCCCCCACACAACCCAGGCATGTGCCCTGACCAGGAATGGAAGCAGCGACCTCTTGGTGCATGGGACGACGCTCAACCCACTGAGTCACACCAGCCAGGCTGAGTGCACTTTTTAAAAGTAAAACTGTCACCATTTTTCTCTACAGCCTCTTTGCCATATGTACTCAGTGTCTCAAAACTTGTGCAGGTCAAAGAGAATCTCAAATTAGATCCATTAGACACTTCTCGTTGCTGCAGAAAAAAAACATGTGTGTTTCCTATCCTGATGCATCGCACTGTGTGGGGGAAGTTACATACACAGTGATGTCTACATAAAGAAAACTCACACTGGGGAGGAATATGCCTCTTCTATGCTGGCTGGCAGTGTGCTCCCCAAAGTGACTTGATAGCACTTTGTAATGCATTAATTATCAGAAGCAAATTACCACCCATTTATCCATTTACCCATTGATGAAGATCACATGCAAATCACATTCAATCTGTCTAAGCATACTGGGTACTTGGAACTCTAAAGATCCTTTAAGGGAAAACAAATGGGTGTGTCTCAAGTGGATTCGGAAGAAAAATGTAAAGCCAATTAAAAGTCATGAAGATGACATCCTAAGCTATCTACGAAAGTTAGAAAACCTCTCTGTGCTTTCCTTCTACTACAGATGACAACCTTACAGAGGGAGGAGAACGGGGATAAAGAGAACTTTAACATGTGGTTGAAAGAAAGACAAGCCTTTACTTTTTCACACTCACAGGAAACAGACCATGGGCCCTAACTGTTGGGCCTTTCCCCCAGCGAGGAGGGCGGCTGGAGCCTTCTCCTACGGTTTAATGACCCCTCTATTTGCAGGACCTCTGCCGCTCTCCTCCCCCTCAAAAAGAGATATTTATTCTTTGTTTTGATGTGCTTAACTCCCTAGAAAAAATGCCAGAAAACCATAGAAAATGCCCTGGGCCACAGCAGACATGACATTTCTGATGAGCTCATTAAAGAGTCAGAATGAACAGGTCACAGGCGTGCAGGCACACACACCGTGGTTTCCCCAAGATACGTGGCATCGAAACGCAAGGACGGGAGCAGGTCTCCGGGTTTAATGCAGAAAGCCCACGAGCTTGGTTTTTTTCTGTATTTTGTTTAGGTTTGACATAGTCTACTGTTCTAAGGAGACAACATCATCTACATTTATTTTCAAACCAAAAAAATAATACGACAGGAGGAACAATTAATGTTCAATGTCATGTAGTAAACGGCATCTCCTGCAACTCCCTACTCGGAGCCAAACTCCGAGGAGAAGGGTGGCAGAGGTTTCCCACGGAGCAGAGGAGCGCTCAGGGACCAAAGTCCAGCTCCCTGTCCCCGGGCTGAGGTTCTTCCACTTTATAATTTCTCTCACTCTGAAATGGTATTTTTATGAGAGCACTCCCCCCCCCCCCCCCCCCGTTTTGTTGTTTTCACTCGAAAACCAAGACCTGATGTGAATCTGCAATTCCGACCTGGCCCTTCCACGGGGCCGTTCCAGCTTAAACCAAGCGGAGTTGGGGCCACTTCCCGGGGGCCGTGACAGCTCTGGTCTCCTATTGCTCAAAAATGACATTTCACAAGGGGCTGCTGACTCTTCTTCCCATATGGAAAGGCACGCTCCCACTGTACCTGCACCTCCTCAAAAACCATTGCTTGCTCCTGATTGGTTAACGTTGTCAGGTGCTTCTGGAGTTCTAGTTTGGTTTTAGAAGAATTCATTCCTATTAAGAGAAAAAAAAAAAGAGTGATGAAAACATGTAAAAGTTATGAGGTAGAGTGAACACTTCTATACTCATTCTCTTGACATTCTACCTACCCACTGCAGGCCTTCAAAATTTTATGGAAATCCTATCCAATAAAGTTGATAATGGCAATGACAACAACTAACAGTTTTTAGTTGAGCCCTCCATGGACCAGGTACTGTCTTAAACATCAGGCCTCCATCATATCATTCCATGCTCAGAACAATCTGATGAAGAGGGTTTTATTATCCCCATTTTACAGATAAGGAAACTGAGACCCAGAGAGTTTATATAATTTCCAAAAACCACAACCTTGGACTCTACCTCAGGTCTATGTGGTTCCAAATTACTTTTTGGCCACTGCTCCATGTTAAAACCCCTCACACAATCAGAACGTTGTCCTCAGAAAATGATAAATTCTCAACCTGGCCTGGTAGCTCAACGGTTAGAGTGCCATCCCAATATGCCAAGGTTGTGGGTTCGATCCCCAATCAGGGCACATACGAGAATTAACCAATGAATGCATAAATAAGTGGAACAACAAATCGATGTTTCTCTCTCTCAATTTTAAAAATTAAAAAAAAGAAAATGATAAATTCTCATGAGTATTTGCTCTCAACATCTTTTCTTAAGGAGAAATAACTACTACTCCATTTGAAAACTGACCAACATATTTCTCTTGCATGTTATACTCCCGCACATAAAATTGAGTCATGTGACTAACCACTTTCCTCTTACCACCGCTTGCTTATTCATATTCTTAGGACAATAACCATTACAGAGGATTCTGAGAAAAAGTTATAAAAATAAAGCCATAGTTTTAATGCCCATTAGTGTCTAATACTTCAGAACATTCTTTCTCCACACAGACATGGCTCAGACCCTGTTTTGCCTTTTCTTGGTGCCAGAGATAAATGTTCCACACGATGAGATTTAGGATGAAAGGATTTACTGACCTAACCACAACAAAAACAACCACAAACGAGGTATGCGCGTATAGACATAACTCGTTTCACTGTACTTCACTGCACTCTGACGATATTGCATTTTTTACAAACTGGAGGTTTGTGGCAACCTCCAGCAAGAAGATTACAACTTGCTGAAGGCTCAGATAATGGTTAGCATTTTTTATCAATAAAGTATTTTTAATTGAGGAATGTACATTGTTTTTTTCAGACATAATGCTAGCACACAATATAGTGTAAACATAACTTTTATATGCATGGGAAACCAAAAAATTCGTGTGACTCGTGTTTTTACTGTGATATTTGCTGTATTGTGGTGGTCCGGCCTGAACCCGTAACATCTCTAAGGGATGCCTGTGCTTTTATTCCAAGGATGACCCTCTCCTTATCCACCTGCCACTCTCTTCTCCTCCCAAGAATGAGCCACAGGCAGGCGTCTGGCCTGTCCTCCAGAGCCTCAGAGCCATGATGCACTGATATAGCTAAGAGGGAACACCTCGCAAATCTGGACCAGGAACTTGGAAATCATGCCAGCTTCACAGGTGAGCTTGCTGGGGTCTAGAGAAGACAGGTGGCTTGTCCAAGGTCAGGAGCCGACAGCAGCCAAGCCTGCCCCAGCGCCCCTCCCTCCTGCGGCCCCTACTCACACTGCTGCAGCCACCTCAGCTTCCAGGAAGTCCCTCCCACCTTCTTTTGCCAATATTTCTTCAGTGATTGCTGTGCTACTTCACTCAATACCACACGCAAAATCTCATTTGATCCTCAGAATAATCCTTGGAGTGGGCACTATTTCTAGTAATAAAGGTGTAGATGGAGAAACTGAGGCGCGGTGAAGTCAAGTATTCTGTCCAAGGTCGTCAGCTGAGTAAGGGACAGAGTTAGAATCTCAGCCATGTCTGTTTGCCTCCGGGGATCACTCTGAAACCCTCGCTGCCTCCCTTCTGCCCGGAGAGTCAGGTGGTCTGACACATGAGGGTGTCGATACCAAGGGAGTCAATTCACAGGTGGGCAAGAGCACAGCAAGGCCAGATGGGTTTTGTCAGAGCAAATTCAGGTGCTCCCCTGGCAAGATGTCAGGTCTTAGAAGGCAGGGAGACAAATAGTTGGTTTTACTGTCCGAACGACTTAAATGCTGAATCAAAATGGTGTTGAAATTCACAGTAACATAAGCCCTCACTAATCATTAGCCAACACTCCTCCTTGCATATGGAGATGCCTCGGACAGTGTCAGCTTCCTAGTTTGGACACACTGTATTGTTTGCTGAGACATCCCCAGGGGGAGAGAAACCCAAGCGCTGAGAAGAGTTAGACTAATCGTACGCTTCTCGCAGTCTTCGGTGAAATCACGCAGGGAGACTGTTCCTCGTACTCAGCAGGCATGGGGAGATCCTTCGCCAAGTTCCATCCTTGTCTTCAGGATGCCTTGGCGCATTCGGTCCTTCCTGCCCAACCAACTCAAAGCAGAGGGGCCCACCCCGGTCTGCCCGGTTACCCACACCTTCCCCGTGGCTTCGCACCACCTTCAGCGCCTCCTGGGTGGTTTCTGCAGCGAGGTGGCGCACTCCCCACATGATGCCAAAAGGCTTTAGAGGGGGAAAGGGAGGCAAGGAAGAGGTAACCAGAGTCAAGGGCAGTCCCAAACCACAACCCTGCAGCCCCCATGGGTGCGCCCGCCTTCACACTGTCTGCGGGAGCTCTGACGCATGGCCTGGCTCAGCCGAGGCGAGTTCGCTTAGAGTGCAAAGGGAAACCTCCGTTCAGCTGTTTTTCGTTTTAGTGAAAGCACAATTCATTCTAGTAATTCTGAAAATGCTCCTCTAAACTCTAATATAAGCAAAACACGATGTGAATCCTACGAGCAGTGGCACACAATTCAAATCCAACCCGAGCACGCCTGCACCTCTCACGTGTTGTAAGTGCACTGTAGAGTGGTGTGGCCAAAGTCGTCAATGTGTACTGTATGTTTATTGTATTGTATTTTATTTTTTGTTAATTCTTACCCAAGGATATTTTTCCATTGATTTTTTTAGAGAGAGTGGAAAGGTTGGGAGGAGACACAGAGAGAGAAATACCGATCTGAGAGACACACATCGACTAGTTGCCTTCTGCATGCACCCCACCTGGGCCCAGGGATCAAGCCTGCAACTGAGGTACGTGCCCTTGACGGGAACAGAACCCAGGACCCTTCAGTCCGTGGGCTGGTGCTCTATCCACTGAGCCAAACTGGCCACGGCTATTTATTGTATTTTAAACATTCCGGGGCATAACGTGGCTATATCCGTTAACACGACGCAGTCTTGAAGTCTTTTGTTTTTGTGGCCATGTCATTGGTCCTCTCCACAGTTTATGGAGTCATTGGCCAAACTATATGTTCCCATTAGAACTGCTCTTATGGGAACATGCATGAGCTTTAATAAACCACTCACTTCATTGTACTGATTAGAAATGCAACAGAGCAAACAGCAAGGGCCTCCGACTGTTCATAGAGTAATGAGCCCCTCCCCTGCGGAGGACGCCTCGAACGGTGCCCTCTGCACTCCGGAAAGGCGCCCATCATGCAGGCAAAGCATACCTTCCCCAGCCTACGTGAGGGACGTTTACACATCAGCACGGCTTCCTGCTTTGCTTAGATTTCGTCAGGTAAAAGATGAATTAAATGATAATTCCCAAACCTCAGCGGCAAAATTCCCACCCTGAGTACACTTTTCAGCTGTAACATTCTGAAAGCTAAGCCAGACCAAGGAAAGCTTTACCGGGGGGACTCTGGAACCCTTCCAGTGCCTACGATCACAACCTGCTTTATCTTCCAGGCCAAAGTCACCGCGGGCCCCTTAGTCAGCTCCGAAGGGACATTTGCGTCACCGTTCACCTTATCTTGAAAACCACCAAGGAAAGGGTTATCCCTCTCAGATGGGATCTCTAGTTAAAGGCCAACGTCTCCTGTTCCCAGATATGTTTCGTATAATGTCAGCAAATAGTAACCACCAGGAAAACACAGTAAGAAATATTAATCATTTTGATTCGTTTTAAAGAGCACTATAATGCCAGAAAATGAACCTTAAGACGCTTAAGATGAAAACTGTCCATTTATCTCACTTAAAAGGGGAAATCAATACCACTTCACACCCATTGAGGTGGTTATCAAAAAGAATAAAGCAAAAAACAACAAGTGTTGGCAAGGACGTGGAGAAATGGCTGATGGGAGTGTAAAAGGTACACCACTATGCTCGAATCACACGCACCTGGCGCAATCCCTGACACATGGAACACAACCCAGTGACTAATCTACGGCTCCATCAGGAGGAACCTGTCAGCGGTCAGCGAGTGCAGGTCACCTAGCTCCCGGGCCTTCACCTCCTGCGGAAGGGGCCCTACTCACCCTCGATGCGCTCGCAGAGCTTGTGCAGGCCCTGCAGGGGGCAGCCCTCGCACAGCTGGGCGGGCGCTCTCGTCTGCTGCACAGCAGCCACCGTGAAGGCCTGTTTCAGCGTCATCATGATCTCATCCACCTGGTCAGAGAGGAGAGAGACGTTAGCCAGCGAAAGGTCCACTTACCGTGAGCGGGCTCCGCATTTGGGACTCTGCGGGAAGACTTAATATTTTACGAGTTTTCTGGACCATGAGTCACAGGTTGGCAGGTAACAGTCATAACTGCTAGGATGATCGACTGAGAAACACTGCCTAGATCAGCGGTTCTCAACCTGTGGGTTTCGACCCCTTTGGGGGTCGAACGACCCTTTCATAGGGGTCGCCTAAGACCATCGGAAAACATATATCTAATTACATATTGTTTTTGTGATTAATCACTATGCTTTAGTTATGTTCAATTTGTAACAATGAAATTGGGGGTCACCACACATGAGGAACTGTATTAAAGGGTCGCGGCATTAGGAAGGTTGAGAACCACTGGCCTAGATGCTCAGGGCTCTTACAGGGGATATGAGAAAAACTAAAAGCACCAATTAGTTACAGAGTGAAAAAGCCAATTCTTCTGATCAAAAGTCCAAAATGACATTTTAAAATTGCTAAACCAGGGGGTGCAGGCGAGCCAGTTCTTAAAAAATAATGAAAACTGAAAATGCACTCCCAAGTGAATCTCAGATACGTGCTAATTAAATAGTCATGAAAGAATAGTAAAGCCAAATAACAATATGTCAATGAGACTGCGGTTTTACTAAGGAAAGAAAACTCCATGAGCTTGAAAGTCTTCATCGCTAAGGGTTCACGTGAGCGCTGCCCGCCCAGCTTACCAGAGCCTCGTTTGTGCACTGAAACACGTAACAGACGAAATGGAAGCCACCGCCTCCCGACGACTCCCGGCAGATGAACCCGAAGTGGTCCACGTGTCTAATACCCTGTCGGAGGTGGGAGAGAAGAAGGAACGTTGAGCTGAATCCGAAAGAGGCATCGCTGCCAGGAAGGCAACTGCAAATTTACACCACGCCACGTGAAAGGGCACCATCACGTTATTATTTCAGATAAAGATCTAAAAACCCCTCTCAAATATGATCATGAACGCTGTTCTTCTCAAATGCTACTCTGATTATTCCCACAATAAGATCTCACAACTGGAGTTTTTAGTGCTCATTTTAGCACTAAAAGGAAGGAAAGAAAAGTTGACACAGAAAAATGAGAATTTTTCGGAGGTATTAAAGAATAAAAAGGTACTTGGAAAATCAAAAGCAGACCACAGATTAATGAAGAAACACAACCATACACACACATGCGCAGACACACGTGTACATGTACACATGCAAACACACACAGACACAAAGGTTAAAAGATTCAAAAACATGTGTGTACTTATACAATAAATGGGCAAATACTGAAGTAAACTGGTATGAAGAATGAGCCAGAAATTATAATCACAAAGGAAAGAGAAGCTTTTAAACATAAGATGTTAAGGCCAGGGCTCCATCGTCGTTTTTAAGAGCTCTTTCTAATAAATATTAATATCTAAAATTGTTTTGAATGTATCAGCTACGAGGCACCTTAATACAGAGAAGACATGGTCCATAGACATTCATGTGTGGGGTCTCCTGAGAGCACCCGCAGGCGGAGGTCTGAGTGCTGACCACGGGAAGGTCAGGGGATTACATAAACTTGAGGAAATCATAAAACTATCACGTGAAAAAGCCAACATTAAGCATTACCATTTCCATAGAAATAGCAGCAAATCAAGATAAAAGTTCTGTGGAGAATCTCACGTTCGATCAGATGTTTTCTGATCCGTGGCAATCAGGGACTGGCTGGCTGCTCAGTGTTCTCCAGCAACAAGTGCAGCACAAGCTAGAGGTTCCTCCTCGGGGGAACGGGGTTTGGAAAAACTGTTCCTTTGTAAATGGTCCCCTATTTGATCTATTGAGGAACATTCTTTAGTTTCACATTTTTGGGGGGAAAAATCCCTTTGAATCCTTAAGGAGATCATGTTATACATCAATAAACAATGAGATCTTCATCATCTTATTAAGAGAAAATGGAAGTGAGGAAATGAGAAGTCAGAGTTTAAAAAGTAGTCAAACAGTATCTTGAGTGACCTCATAGTTGTGAGGAAGATCCTGAGTAAAACTGGCACAGCTCATTTATAACTGATCGATTCTCCAAAATCTACGGAACTCACTGGGAGATTATCAAGAAAGAACTCAAGTAGACAGTATCCTGAGCAAAACATCCTCAAAAATAATCACTGTCTATTCTATTTTGAGAAAGAAGAAATCATGTTATTGGTACCCAATAAAGTTATTACGTTTGTAAAGAAGAAATAAGTATCTATTTAAAAATATGTATATAACGTGCCCACAGACATACACATATACACATGAGAATAATCTCTTGGGAATATTACCACCAATAATTGAAAAAAAGAAAAGTAGACCTATTTTCTCCAGTAGGTTATTGTTTCTAAAAACAAAATCCTTAATTTCGAAATTACATTCACATTTTGCCTTAACATATCAAAGTAAAGGAGGAAGAAATGCAAGAACACAAATCAAGTACTTAGAACACATACATCTTGTGACCTTTAGCACTTCCGTTGATGGACAGATATGGAAATAATTCAGTAAAAATTCCACTGCAATTGAGCCAATAACCCATCTGAACTTACCTGAGAGCAGAAGGATATCTCCTTAAAATTTTTCTCCAATGCTATTTTTTTGGTGTCAGGACTGATGAGGTAAACTTCAGATTGACCAATCTTAAAAGACAAACAAAAAAAGCAACCAGCTTCTCATGAAAGCTGAATTCAAATTTATCTCACAAACGTTCTCATTTCATGACCTATGAAAATAAAGAATAAAAGGGGCAAGCGTCTATAAAATCCTGACTATCTCACCGTGGAAAATCGCTTCCAGGGCTGTCATTTAACCTACGGGTTTCGGGTAGTGCAGGACAACTTAGCGCGTTTGCCTACATTAGACAGCGGTCCTCCGTGCGACGGAAGAACCACATATCCAAAGTCAGCAGCAACGCCTCAGCTCCTACGTAAGTGCATCCCCCAGAAAACAAAAACTGTCTTTTAAAACGTCCCAAACAGTTTACTAATGACTTTTATTCTACGTCTTTTAAAATTATTGTTAAAATAATCTACCCTTTGTGGAGTCCATACTGTGTGTTAGGCATTCCTGTACTACATAGCAGACTTTGCAAAGTTAGAGCATTAGCATAAGTTAACACTGTCTTACTGACCTGAGTCAGCACAGCAGACTCCGCTCTAGGACTGAGCCGCCATGGCCACCTGCTGTCTGTGCTCCGTCCCTCCCCCGGGGCCTCCTCTCCTGCACCTCCCTGAACCCAGGACACTCTGCTGGTTGTCCACACCGAAACCTCTGCTCGGTGAGAGTCACCTCCTCAAAGAAGCCTCCCCAGTCCCCCCGAGGCTCTGGCAGCACCCTCTGCTTATCCTTTGCAGTATTTATCCCAGCTGTAATGAGATCATTACTTGCAACCAGTTGTTGGTCTCTCTTTCCAGAATCTAAACTCCACGTGGGCAGAGACTACATGTCTTGTTCACGGCTGTATTTCTGGTGTATTGCAAGGGACCCTGTATGCAGTGGACACACAATAAGTACTTGAAAATAAAGGCACCGAGCAGCTTTCCCAATGACTCCAAGAGAAATTTTTCAAAAATAACAGATTAAAGCACAAGAGTGACTGCAAGCAGCACCCTTCGGTACACTAGGTCTATGATGACAACGGGAAGAAGTCAGCCCTGTGCTCCTGACTCACTCTCTTGATCGTAAACCTGCATACAGCCATCAGCACTCAACTAAGTAGCCAGCTCCTTACCCCTCAGTCATCTCACTGCCCTGGGTCAGGCACAAAAACAAGACGGGACAGATAAGGTAATTCTGCTCAACCTTAAGTCAAAGGAACAACAGAGAGGGGGGTCAAGGAACGATCAGTTCTCTCCATCTTCAGAGGCCAGCTCCCTGCTGGGACAGCTCCACCCCCATCAGCTCAGACCCAGGGACTCCCAGAAAGGGCAGCGCACGCAGCAACCCCACCTGCAGGGACAGCCTCCCTGCCAATTCCTTTTCTGCCATTTGGCCCATTATCAGTTTACCAAACTTCTAGAAAAAAGTGAGCAGGCCATTGGCTGAACTAACATTTCAGTTTGGGTATAAATTTCAAATATCACGTCATCTCCAAATCCAATTACCCTGCTTAACAAAGCATAAATGCTTTATACATTAATAAAAATACCAAGGAGGGAGTATTTTCCAAAAAGATTTTGTTGAAACAGATGACTTGAAATTAATATACATTTTTTAAAATCCCTTTCTGGGCCTCTTTTACACATATTAACTGTGTTCCTTCCACATTGAAAAGGTATCTTTATAAGCATGGTTGGGGGAGATAAAAATTATACAAGAAAATGGATTCTCTTTATCCTTCCCCTTGATGACTTTAAAGGCTTAGGACTCAAGCAAGGACTTTATCCTGAGAAAAGAATTATTGAGGATAAAAATACATGGATTCCACATAAACCCAAAAGCAGTGTACTAAGCTTCTTGGCTCAATAAAGCAGATTTTCTTATCTGAAGACTGGGGATGACCACGAGGCTTGGTGATGTTTTACCGTAAAAAGCATAGTTCGATTTTCCTCAATATCCGTTGGCTGCACAATATTGTGTCCACTGATGAGGTGGTTCTCAATGTCGTTTTCATCAAAAGAGCTGAAGAAACTGTGACTTCGCAGGCTCCCATCCTGAAACTCCTTCCTATAGGCCAGGGAGCGCAGGCCGGGCTGCGAGAAGGACTTACGCATGGGCCAGTGGCCCTGCTCCGTGGGCCCCGCGGGCTGCAGCACCGATCGGAACTTATCCGTGAAGGAAAGCGCCGCAGCAGGGTTGCTGGCCTCGGAGTTCTGGGAGACCAGGTCAAGTTCGGCTTTCCTGCTGCAGCTGATGTGGTTGAACTTCTCAATGCACTCGTCGATCAGGGCTGGCGGCGCCTTCTTGTGCGCCACGGTCACCCGGCCGCAGAAGAGCACCTCGAACTTCTTGGAGAACGTGTCGTCAAACTCCGAGGGGCAATGCAGCTCCTCCTGGCGGGCGATCCTCCCGGCGTGGCGGATGGAGCTGATGATCTCGGGCACCTGCCGAGAGAGGAAGGAGTGTTATTTGGAACACGCAGTAGTGGGCACTCCCAGGCACAAGGAGCCAACACCATGCTCTCCCCCGGCTTCGCTGCACATTCCATCACAGGGCACCAAAGGAGGATCCCACAGGAATCTGTCCACTCCTTTCCTGGCACTTGTCTCACTGTCAGTGTACCGACCTTCTAGAAAAAGAAGTCTGCCCTCCCATGGGTGCAAAATACACAGCTTTCGCAGGGAAGAGATGAGGAATCCTATATAATAAAAGCCTAATATTCTAAATGTCCAGGCGTTCGTTCAACCGGTCGACCAGTCGCTATGACACACACTGACCACTAGGGGGCAGACGTTCCAATCGGTAGGTTAGCTTGCTGTTGGGGTCCGGCTGGGTGAGACAGGCCGAACATGCCCTGGAGCCCTCCACAGCCCCTCCCTGGCCTAACTGTGCACCAGTGGGGTCCCTCAGCCTGGCCTGCACCCTCTCACAATCTGGGACCCCTGGGGGATGTCAGAGAGACGGTTTTGGCCCGAACCCCACAGGCCAGGCCACTGGTGCAGGACTCCGTGCACCGGGCCTCTAGTAGTATTTATAAAGCACCTCTTACATCTGAGGGGCTACTCTAGAAGATTCACATGCCCACACCCCACAAGGTTAAGTCAACTGGCTCACGGATGCACGGCCAACGTGGCTAGCCTTGGATTCAAACCCAGGCTGATGCCAGTGCAAAGCCAAAGGTCCTCTCTGGAGAAGCCATCACCCCTGGAGAGTTTTGTCTCCAATGCAGCTCACCAAAACACTATGCAGCGACTCTAGATCTCATGGCAATGTAGCTGGGAAAGTTGTCCACAATAAATGGCTGGGATGAGGATGACAAGACAAGACTGAAATAATCTTATAAAACATTTCTTCAAATCATTTTCTTCAACGACAACTGACAATTTATTGCCGAGTCCTGTACTCCCTAATAGTTGAATAGTATTAAGTGCAGAGCGTGGAGGTTTTAATCAAGGAGTAAGCAACCATGACGGCATCATTATCACAGCAACACACTGGGGCTCCCACTCACAGAGATGCCCAAGCCTTTAGGTTCAAGGTAAAGTCACGATCAGAGAATGAACAGAATGCTCTCGTGTGCTACTGCGGTCCCGACTGCTACACCCTCTCATCAGTAGCTTGGGACGAGATCCCTCAGAGTTCAGAGCAGCAGCAGACGGAGGAGGAGTCTGTGGCAGCTGTGGGTAGGTCTGTGCTATCAGCCATACACTAAACAAGACGGGCATGATTCAACTTCCCATAAGGAAATGCCTACTTATTGTCATGACCTAACACCCAAAGCAATTTTTTTTTCCTTTTTTTTCTGTTAGATAATTCAATTTAAAGTCCAATACCCATTGGCCCAATGTCTTTTTAAAAACATTATAGGGAAGGAAAAACAACAACAACACCTTTTCAATTTAGGTCAAAGATCAATATAATACAGTAAATGGAGGTGGTTTTAATAGATTTTAAAAGTATGCTTATATTCTGGGTTCATGACATAATCCCTTAAAACTCAAAAGATTTTTTTCCTCTATATTTCATATCAAGCACATCTTAAAGACAATCTCTCTACCATAAAAGATTATGATATGTCATTTCAAGGTATTTTATCATATAAAGAGTCAAAATAGCCCTAGCCAGTTTGGCTCAGTGGCTAGAGCGTCAGCCCGCAGAGTGAAGGGCCCCAGGTTCAATTCCGGTCAAGGACATGTACCTCGTTTGCAGGCTCGATCCCCAGCCCTGGTGGGGGCATGTGCAGGAGGCAACCAATCGATGTGTCTCTCTCATATCGATGTTTCTCTGTCTATCTCTCCCCTTCCCTTCCACTCTTTCTTAAAATCAATGGGAAAATATCCTCGGGTGAGGATTAACAACAACAACAACAACAAAAAAGTCAAAATACCTTTAAGGATATTTTAAAAATTGATTATGAAGTATAAAACCTAAATGATACTAAATAAGGTGAAATGTCAACAGACATCAAGCATCTGTCTGCACTATTTGCTTGTGCTGTAGCTCACTCTTCTACCACTAAGTAATTATACATCGCATGGAGGCCTCAAAGTTGTTCATCGATATAAAAAAGGCAGGACAAAGAGAAGAAAGAGGTAGGGAGTTGAGGTTTCATTCACACCTTTGCCAACAAGTCACCACAAGACCTCAGCAACATCAGCCTCAGTTTCTCTCTTTGAAAAAAAAAATGCTTATTAAGATTTTTCAGTTAAAAGTTGTATCTGTGAAGTAAACAATAATGATGTTTTTCAAAGAAAAATAACCAACTTATGCAAGTCAGGAACCTTGTCGCTTTTCTGAGCAAGTGTGTGGAATTATTTAATCAGGAGCCACATGAGTCTTCCCAATTACTAACCCTTCTCTCTGAACAGAACATTCAAAGTTTACTCAGTCTTTTGAGGTTTGTTAAAATTACTGGCATTTCTGGCCCTAGCTGGTTTGGCTCAGTGGATAGAATGTCGGCCTGAAGGGTCCCGGGTTCGATTCCGGTCACGGGCACATGCCCGGGTTGCGGGCTCGACCCCCACTGGAGGGCATTCAGGAGGCAGCCAAACAATGATTCTCTCTCATCAATGATGTTTCTGTCTCTCTGTCCCTCTCCCTTTCTCTCTGAAGTCAATAAAAATATATTTTTTAAAATATATATATACATATAATTGACATGTCTACTAGTAGTATATGCTGGGTCACCCGGTGCATCTGGAGTGAGTAATGTGTCTTCCATTATGTATCAAAGGGGAGAGAAAATGTGTGAAGCCACATGCGTTTATGGTGACTCGGTAATAAGTGGCACAGACACAGTAAGACACAAAGCAGAGAACTTGGTTGTTCCCTCACTTCGCAGGGGCAGGGGGGCTGTAAAGAGATCACTGTGCCTTGGCTGGGTTGAGCTGTGGAAGCTTTTCCAACCCCAATTTCTTCTACACTGTCATCAGGTTCCTAAAATGACATGCGGCAGTGGAAGACCAGGGCCCACCTCCCCCTGCTCTGGTGAGTCATGTGTAATGTGGGTAAAGGAGATAACTGGGGTTAGAGAAATCCCTGGGATCCTGGCCAGAAGAATATAACAATCTCAGGATATTTGAAGGTATACTGCCCAACATCGTTTGAACAATGAATCATAAACAGTTAAAAATCTAATGTTAAAGATTACTATAAATCATTCGTGTATACTAGGAGTCTATTTAAATTTTTTTAAAAATGGCTCCAAATGTGTGCAATTGTGTAAACCTCTATCCATTGTGTTGTTCCCTTCACCAGAACAGACCTGGCCGCTGCTTTCCGAAAAATGAAGGCATAATGCCCACGTGTGAGGAAATCCTGAACTCTCCATTCTTGATAACTCTGTCCTTGACTCACCTGCACTGTTACTTATTACATGTGAGAACTGGGTCGTTCACGTCATTTATTTTCAAACATGTTTCCAGGTATGACGCGATGCCAGGAGGCAGGGATTCAGGGTGTGAGATGAATGAATGGAAGGGAAGGGAGTACCGAGTAATTGACACGGGGTCTGCTGGGAGCGGAACTCAGAACGAAGCACTGAAGATGGAGAGAAAGGATGAATAAGAGATGCCGGAAGACTGAACCCAAAGGGCTAGCGATCACCTGGGAGCAGGAGGTGAGCGTACCGAAGACTGCACGTAACCTGCAGAGCTCGGGCTTAGCCTTCTCGGTAGACGGTTGTGCCACTGGCCCAAGTCAGGAAAACAGAGGAGAGGTGGGCCTGGGGGGACATCACAATGAGTTCTGCTTCTGTCCATGTTGAGTGAGACCAGGGGACCTGAAGTAAAGGCCTCTGGTGGGCAGATACACAAATGGGCCTGGCCCCTAAGGCAGGAGACCTAGATTCGGAAGCCAACAGCTCATACACAGGAGGTAGCTCACACCTTGGAAAGAGAAAAAGGGAAAGTAAAGGAAGAGAGAAAAGATGGGACCTTGGGATATACCAACATTTCAGGCAGAGAAGGGGGAGGGCAGGCAGGCAAGGATGCTGTCAGAGGTGCCAGGGAAGCCAGCACTCCCGCTTCCAGGGAGAGGAGGCGACAGAATACAGCAAGGGCCAAGCCAGGTCTGCTGGAGCTGGCAGCTGATAGAGATACGTACAAATAAAGGGGGGGGGGTGCCGATACTAACCCCCCAAAAGAAGCAAAAATGCCTCAAGGTCAAACTTCAGTCTCTACAAGGACATACACTTCAAAGTTACAATATTTACAAACAGACCCTTGTAGGCAAATACGCTGAGGCCAGTGGAATATATTCCCACTGATATGATCTGGGTACTTTTAACAAAAATCTTTTTTTAGTTTAGTCACAGCAATAATGTCTACGTCATTTCTGACTGCAGATAAGCAGATAAAGTAAATCAAAATTAACCAAAGCAAAGACAAGAATCTGAAAAACATTTTACTGGAATAAATTCAACAAGGGTTTGAAATTTGGTTTTATTTCCTTCTACATTGCAACTTGCAACAAAAAGGAATCATCAATAATAAAGCGGCCCAGTTTAGACATAAAAGTTTACTGAACCGATCTCTGCTGACTTATTTGAGTTTATACTAAAGCTCCATTGTAAGGTAAATCTGCACTCACTTCACAACCCAAGCAAGTTTCTTTCTAATCCACACACCAACAAATGCACGGTGTAGTACGAACTTCCAGCAGCGGGCTCAAGTGAATATTGTTCTTTATTAAGTAGCCAGAAAACGATACTCTAAGAGAGTCAGAAATGTTCATTTCTGTAAATAAAGTCCTTATTTGAACATTTGGGTCAACTTTCTTTTTAAAAACATAGGGATTTGAAAGGATTATAAACACACTGTGAGGTGTAATTGCATTCAATTACAAATAAATGGTAACAAATAAATAGTAAATTAATCTAAAGAAGCCCATATTTTGTCCTTAAAATGCTAGCATTTTTTCCTGTTATTTAACATTACAACATTCC